CTCTCTTTCAAAATAAAATGAGTAATAATAAAATATTGTCTTGTATACGTGTGAAACAAGGAAAAAATAAAAATATTAAATAAAGTTGTAATGACCCTTCAAATCCTTGAGAGACCTTTGTTTTTATATCAAACGTATATTAACACTTAAAATTATTACCGTTTTTTCTTGTTCACTACAAGTACCGACATACATACAAGAACAACACGTAACCAAAATTGAGAAATATTATTCACTGACCTAAATTACACCATTATATAATTTTATTAATGAACCCAACAAATGATTTTTCTCTTTCTCTTTATTAAAATTTTTCAAAGATAATTTCGTTTTTAACATAAGGATGCTGATGACAACAAAATGACGTTAAACCGAATATTATGTAAATGATTCTCTCTCGGGTTCTATTATTGAACATACCTTTTATATTTTACTTAATTTGCTACCCATTAATTTTGATTTTCTTTTGCAGATTTTTGTTTTTTTGTTTAATAAAATATTGAGACATTTACGATTATAATGGGCTTAAGTTTTTTGTTTTGCCTCTTAAGAAGATTAAGACAGAGAAAAAGACCAGAAACGGAAGAGCAAAATATTTTCGATAAATTACAAGAATATTTTAATGTTTTGAAATTAAAATACATATTTCAATGATATTATTATTAATTATTATTATAATTTTATAAATTATATTATTGGGGGAAATTCCCGGAAGATTTAATTTAGTTTTGCAATTTACTGCAAATGTGGTATGTATTTGCTTTTAATATGAAAACTTGACTTTTCAAGAGAGCACTGAATATGAAATGTCAAATTAGGGATTTGTGCCGTAAGGTGGGTGCATTTTTAGATTATATTTTTAATAAGAAAAGTTTATTTATTTCTATTTGATCCCAAATTATTTTCATTAATTGTCGAATTTGAGGCATCATTCACCTTTAATAACTGATTGTCGCTCAACTTGTGATTTGAAGAATTTGTTTTGTGACGATATTATTTACATTTCTAGAACTTCTTCGTATGGAAAAGCCACCTGGTGATAATATTCGAAAATAGAAGGTTTTCAATAAATTTTAAAATGAAGGTCAGCTTATTGTACTCGTACTACGTTCCAATTTCAAATGTGGCAAATAATGAGTTTAAAAATTATTTGCTTCAGATGACTATATACGCAAAGCTTGCGCCATGCGCAAAATTTGTTGGCTATAATTAAATAATTTTTCCATATTCAATATTTATTTTTATGATTTAAAATTTTCAAATCATATTTTATAGTAGCTCTTTTCTATTTTGCAAAATTAGGTTAAATTTGTACTTTCAAATTATTAACCCAAAAAAAAAATGGTATAAAATAGTTATGACATTGAAACCTTCAAATCATAATTAATTTCAATAAATTCTTTTCAAATATAAAATTCGCAAATATATTCGAAATCCGTATTGAATTTATAAAATTTTGTGTATTCAGGTTAAGTGTATTTGAATTTTAATCATTATTTACCCAATAATAAATTTTCCTTTTTATTTTTTTTCAAAAATAAATTTTATTTTTAAAGCAAATTCAACAATATTCTCCAAAATAAATAAAAACAGTTCCAACAATGAAAGCTTGTTCTTTGCCGCATTTTGTAATCTATATCTAAATAATTTTAAACAATAAAGCATATGAGTAAATACAAATAGGTTTTCGGAACGAATTGTTGTTTTTCAAATTTATAAATTGGCATTGAATATAGAAAAGCAAATATATTTTCTTAAACTGTGCATTGATATATGAATTTTGTAAATCAATAATGTCAATAAACACAAAGAAAAACATACACCCAAAGTAAAAATTTTATTTGGCATAAAAGGTTGTTAGCATTGGGATAGGAGAAAGAAGAAAAAATTCTTGAAGATAAATAACAAAAAAAAAGTGTTTACGAAATTTCTAAAGTTTAAGAAAGAGATCTTACTTTTTTTTTTACTTTTTTTGCGAATTTTGTAAGCAAAAGGTACTTTCACCAAACTCGGTTGTTGAAGGGAAATCTTATATGATTGGAACGGCAATTCTTAAGAAATTTATATTAGTTACTTACGTATATAATATAATTCAATAACATAAATGCTAATTTTTCAGCGACTTACGCGGTTTCCAAAATATACCATCCTCCTCCCCATCATCCGCTTTCAAAGAAATGAACAATATGCAAAAAATATTGTACATTGCGCATAATAAATCAATTTCTTATAACTTTATCATAAGATTGGTTGCAAAATTAAATCTTGAAGTTTTGAACTTTTTGTCTTGCAATGTTTGCATGTAGGGTTGGGTTATCAAGTTAATTTCGTTGTAAATTTAAAGAAAAAAACTGGAAAAAGTTGAAAAAAAGTTGAGAAAAAGTTGAAACGTCTATACGTTACGTAATGATTTATAATATATAATACGGAAAACTGACTCTGCATTCTTCATTCTCCACTTGTTGACAAAGCCACAGTATACATTCGCAATCGATACTCACGATGTATGTTTTGTTTATTTTTATGATATTTAATGTACATTATGATTCTCGATACTATATACAAATTGAGCTTAAAGAGTCTTTACATTTATTTTCGATTATGTTATACAATGAAATATTACAAACCTTTTAGCAGCTTTAATAAATCTTCCGTTGTTTAATATGTTACAGTTGAAATTAAAAATAGGAGAATCAAAAATGTGAAAAAAGAAATTTTTTTTTAAGTTCGTTCTCATATTTCATCCTTATCATAAATCCAATATAATTTAAAGTAAAAAAAAATCAACTTGGAAATATTAAAAATTATTATGTTGTCATGTTTTTGACGCTTTATGTCACAAGATCAGTTAGTCCAACTGACATCAACGCCTACTACTGATGTTAAACATAATTTTGCACATAAACAAATAAATAATAATATTTTTGTTGACAATTATTAAATTTTCTCACATTTTTTATTAAATTTTTAACCGAATGCTAAATTAGAGGCTGTTTTATGTTAAAAATTATGTCAATTTTTAAAATTTTCTCCATTTATTTAAGACACATATATCAGAAAGATAGTACAGGTAGCTCAAAATTCAACCAAAAAATTTTTATTGAAAATTTATAAATTTTCGAGGAAAACGTATGAAAAATATTGACCTTTGTTTATTAAATTAAAGATTTTAAATTTGTTATTGTTTTATTGAACCCCCACAATTTTGATAAAAATAAAATTTAATCTCTAACGACCTCTTCACTGCTTGAGAAAAATTATTAGTTTTCTTTGTAGTCAACGTGATTACATTTGTATCCAAAATTAAAGTAATAAAAAAAAATATCTCAAAGTTGACAAAACATCTGTCAAATATAAAAAGAAAATTTTTGGAAAAGAACCTACTATTAAACAATTTCAAAATTCTATTAGAACATAAAATACATGATTTTCTATTTTTTTTCCCTTCTTTTATCAATACTCGTAACGTATAAGAAAACCTTCTTACATAATTTATTATACATCTTATTTTTATAGCATGCAGACCCTTACGTTCACTCATTATTTTGCGTCGTTCTCCTCTATGCCGTTATCTTAACAATATTCTTACCCGCATAATCAAAATTTCATTTAACACATTGTAAATCTTTTATATCTTAATTTGACGTTAAAATTGTCATAAAGTGAAATGTTACAGAAAAGAAAATATCCTTGCGATTTCAACACAAAAAAAAATATATGTACACAATATATAAAATCTCGTTATCCTTTGCAATATTTGCTTAGATTCATATTTCAATTTTGACATACTCGTATACATATCAGCTATAGACCATATACACAAAATGTAAACACGTACATGTTATGTGCTATTCTGTACGCACTTTTTACATATTTTCTTTAAATATAGGCACAAATGTTTGTGCGCATAGATTTGCTCTATGATTTTTAATGAAAAATCACATAACATAAACTCTTTGTATTTGTGCTTTGTCGACTAAAGCTTGTACAAAATACAAGAGTACAAAATATTCACTTTTATTTGAAATCAATAGAAATTCTTTTCATGATTTATAACACAACAAAATTCAAACGCATACTGGTAATACTTTGAAATGTCAATCAAAAAGTTATGAAAAATACTTTTTTTTTTTGAAAAATCACAGAAAACTCATCAAAACTAATCTTAAAGAAAATAAATTATTATGAAAATTTAATAACAATTTTTAATCAATCGGCAATTTTTAGTTTAGTTTAGAAAAAGCAAAATTTAATTAAATTTTGTTGCCAATAGAAAGAATACTATGCAATTGAATTCTTCAGTAAGCTTAATTTGGCGGCCATATTGCAATATTGTAATTAAAAAAAATATTCTTTCTATTTGATAGAGATCTAAAATAATTTCAAAAAGAGATTTGTAGAAATTTTTTTTAAAGAATTTACGAAAAATATTATGTGATATAAAACATAGTACACATCAGGGCGTACTCAATCAAATCGTAATTTGACAATCAGAACGGAGTGTTGTCAAATCGTAATTTTGAAGAATAATATCATTTTATCACGAGAACGCTGAGGACTTTAATATGACCTTTATATACCCCACATATGCATGTACAAGTATGAAATAACCAAAACTAAATCATTAATTGACTCTTAAAATTTCTTGAAATATTTACCATCTCTTCAAAATTCGAAGAATATTAATTCAAGCACTGGACAGCGTCAACATTTTGTACACTGACAAAGGAAACCAATTTAAACGAATAATTGTTTTGAATAACATGTGATGTTGAAAACTTTTAAAATTCAACAATTAAAATTCATTTAGCCTTAAACTCCTTATAACATACATACAATTTTTTTTCCTCATAAAACAAAATTCAATTTAATTTTTGAATTTGATTTTCTTTTGTTTTCTTTTATAAATTTTTTTTAACAAAAATATTTTTTTTTTTTATTTTAATTCCAGGCCCTACTGCATACGCATGACGTCGTTGCTAGAGAAGTATATGGTGAGGAAGCTCTTAGAGTAACACCACCACCAATTGCACCATATTTAAATGGTGATGATATCGATGGTGCTGATAATAGTGAACTTCAACATGTGACCCGAGTGCGATTAGTGCAATTTCAAAAAAATACAGATGAACCTATGGTAAAACAAAAAAAAAAAATTAAATTCAAATTAAAAAAATTTTAAAATTTAAATTGAAAATTTTTATTGTTTATTTTTATAAAAAAATTTCTCTGTGAAAAAACAATGGATAATTTTATTTTTCTGTCTAAAATAGCAAAAAAAAAATTTTTTGTTTTTGAAAACAACAGTGCGCACCAATTTATTTTGAAAGTGAATTATTTTCAATTTGACAATGTGAAATTATAATCAAATGAATTTTATTAAAAAACCCGTGACCAAATTTATTTAAAATACAAGTCGTACATTGTTATACGTCATTAAGGTTTCATCAAGCAACTTTACGCGGTAGTTTACCGGCATTAAACTACTATTCGCTTGTTTATTAAAAAGTTTTTAATATTTAATTAACTAAAATAGTAATCTATTGCTATCTATCAAAAATTTGGGATCGAATAATATTTTAAATAGAAGAACGAACAAACAACCAGTAATAAATCAGATTTCACAGTGTGAACTCAAAATTTCTCAAATTAAGTGCCATATTATTGACAAACTTCGAAATTAAAGAGCTTACACCGTTAAACGTATAATTTATATTTAAAAATTTTTCCTTCGTTTAATCCAAATTAGGTAATAATTAAATAAATTCCTCATTTAATGAAATAACTTGTAAAATAATAAACTTAAATTTAGAATATTTTCAAAAAAAAAACAGAACCTCAGCAAATTAATTGCAATATCCTTATTATTAAACCTTGAACACAAAAAAAAAAAAACACAAAAACCCTGAAAGTTATTTTAACCTGCACATTGTGAATTTCAATGAACTTGTACCTCAAAATTAAACCATACCCTACTCCAAATTTACCAATATATTTTGGTTTTCCATATAACTTATTTTTTTAAGTTTAAATATCCTTTAAATACAAAAAATTTACGTTCATATTGCCCGAAAATCAGAGGGAAAAAAGAAACACTAACCTAAATTATTAAGAATTTTCTTAACCTGTTTAAAAGCCATATACCCTTTATCACAATCTGCAGACGTGATATGAATGAACTATATTTTCTGAAAAACAAAAACTATTGCTAATATGTTAAATTTTAAGAGAGTTATACGAATACAAACGAGTACAAAAGAGAGCTACGAAACAAAAGCGAAAATAGAGAACAGAAAAAAAATTAATCTTTAAAATTTATTCAACCATAAGAATAGGTTTACCACATTTCCATTTAAACCTTATATATTTGGATTCAATGAGCACATTTTGATCTAATATCCTTAGTCCTTTTTGTATTATTATTATTATTTTTTTTTGGTATTATTCTGTTATCTTTTATTTATTATGATTTTTTACATATTTTCTTTTCCTTGTATTTTATTTTTCTATTCCTTTTTTAATTTGCTTCAAATTTTTTATTTGTTTCTTTTTTTCTTGTAATTTCTTTAGGGCATAACCCTGAAAATGACCGAAGATGGACGTTGTATTGTAGCTAGAATAATGCATGGTGGTATGATTCATCGTCAGGCAACATTACATGTTGGTGATGAAATACGTGAAATAAATGGCCAACCTGTACAGCATCAATCCGTTGGTCAATTACAACGAATGCTTGTAAGTATTGTAAAAAATTTTTTTTCAGTTAATTATTGCACATAAATTAAATTTCTATATTTTGTTTATTTTTAATTTACTATATAAAATGAATATATTAAAGAAATGAATGTTGTAGATAAAATTTAGGTTTGTTTGTTTAAGGATAATTTACATTCATTTTTGAATATTTTTGAAATTGTGCATAAATTTCTAAGAATTTATGAAAATACTCGGAAAGAAAATCTACGTACGTTTATGCTGTTTACGGAAAATTTTCAATCGTATACGTATTTCATTTTATATGTTCGATCGTTTATGTACGGAGACGTAAAAAAGAGAATAAGTGAATAACAGTGAAAACATAAAGCATAAAATAATAAGTGAAAACAGAAAGCATTTAAATTTTTCTTAAAAATTTTGCAAATAAAATTTTTTTTTTCAAATATTTATTAAAATTTTTTCTTTGCTTTTATTGCTTTCTTACTGTAATTCGCCTGTTTTTCCAAATTGTTTTTTGCAAATGCAGTAATCAGCAAAATACATATACGCAAATTTTTGCATAAAAGAGCGATGAAGCACTTTTCGAGAATTGAAACGCATATTTCAAAAATTCTTAAAAGAAAATTAAACAATCAAGGCAACAAAGAATGAATGACGTGACAAGCTCTGATTTTGTTGTTTAAGACAATAAATTAATTTGCAAAATTTAAAAATTAAAATCACACGTACATGCATATAAATTTGGCACTTTTTTCATTGTAAATAATATTAGCGCCATCTATTATGAGCCATTATTACTCCACAATTATACGGGGTAAAAATCGGGGTAAAGGTTCCTATATCAAATACCAATCATTTTTTTTTGAATTATGAGTGGCCATAATAAATAAATGCAACCACATAAATAAATGTTATCACTAATAATTGTGTTGTTCTAAAATTTTTTTTAATATCATTAAAAAAAACCATTCGTGTGTTACAAATTTATTGATTACAAACAATTTAAATATTGTTTATAAGCTACTTAAATTAATACCATTAAATATTTTTTTTTATCGAACTCTATAAAAATTTTTGAATGAAATTTACAACATACAATACAATTAATATAGACACATGGACAATTAGAAAATTACAAAAATAATTTAAACTAATTGAAAATAAAAAAAATTCGTCAAAAATCAATATTTTGATTATTTGAACTTCAATTATCAAAAGTGTGAAAGTATATTGCATAGTGGAATCATACTCAAAACAATTGGGACGACACTAACTATCAAAACCAATTAAATAATTATATGTGACTTTCAGTTAAACTAACACGAAACTTGTCTTTTACTATTCTTTCAATGAGATCATTAATTAATTCAGAATTTTTTACGCAACCTAATTTACGTATAACGGAAGTCGGTTAGATTTGCAAAGCTAATCATGGGAAGATTCTATCCAAATATCAGACCCGTTTAAATTATTGAAAGAGAAAAACATGTGTACAATATTTATCCAAACAACTTCGAATTAATTTCAAGTATAGTTTGTAAATTAAAATAACATTTGTAGACATTGAAGATTTGACGTTTATTCTTCATATGAAAATATAAAGTCATCACGTAATAAATGCGCGTCATTACTTCTCTCAATTACTATTTTCTACAGTCTCTTGCAATTACGAGTGTTCGTCAAATAAAGAAATATATTTAAATTTTTTAATTACATAAAAATAAATTTTTAAAATTTAATTTTTTTTTCTCTTTTTTCCACATTAAATTTAGCGTGAAGCTCGTGGTTCAGTTACCTTCAAAATAGTTCCTTCATATAGGAGTGCTCCACCACCTTGTGAGGTACGTATCACTAAATTATATTATTTTTAAAATATTTTAATTATAAATTAAATAGTTACATATTATACAATATTATATAATTCACATTTTGTTTGTGTAATAAATAGATGGTATTTTTCATAATCGTCATAAAATTGGCGTTCGTCAAAAATATTTTGGCGCGACAATCATATTTTCATAATCTGTTGCTAACGCAATAATTGGGGAAAATCAATGCAATGCCGCAATTTTTTTTGTTACTGCTCATCATTTTGTTACGTTAGATGTCAAAATATTTTATATTGCTATATTGTGTACATAAATATATATATATTTATATTTTTTTTGTAACTATTATTTTAATTTTCATAATTAAAATAATAGTTACAAAAATTATTTTAATTTTCATAATGATCAATGGCATTATGCAGATTATTGCAGTAATCGACAATTCTGACATCAATGACAAAAATCATCAACACATGATCGTCCAATCGTTGACAATTATGAAAAGTACCAATTTTGTGTTAATGTTAATAAATGTCGAATAATTAAGCATGAAATATTATTTAGAATCCAAAAGTCAAATTAATTTTGTTAGAAAATTTTTGTTTTTTCGTATTTTTGTAATTTAATATATTTAATTTATGAATTCGTTTTAATATTTTATTTCACAATATTAGAAATTATTTTTTAATGTGTAACTAAAACTTTAAATTAGAATTTATAATTAGATTTCAAGATTTTTAATGAAATCTCATTGAAGACAATTAGAAGAGTTAATAATTTTTTTTATAAAATTTTGTAATTAATAATTTTTGAGAATTTTCAGAACTTTGTTTAAAATTAATATTTTGGTTAGTTGTTAATTTAATATCATTTCTTTTTGTTAGTTTATAATTTATTAATAACTGCTCACCTGACGTAGAAATTTTTCAAATTGACATTATTTTGTATTAGATGAAAGCTATCCGGGGTCCGCTTATGTATTTACCAACCCACAAAATACGAAAGTTTATTATTTCTGTTCTACTCTAAGAGATCATCTCTCGAATTTTTCTTTAAATTATAATAAACAGCGAGAAAAGGAACAATTATTTATAAGGACTTTTCTTAATATTATTTATAATTTTTATGCTCCTATTAAAAATATTTTTTATTTGTTTAATTTATTTTTTATAAAAAAATTTAATTACCCGATTATTTTCATTCTTACAAGTCTTTTATTATTATTTTAATTGTTTACTATTAAAATTTTTATTTTAACAATGAAATGCTCCGCAGTTACGAACTCATAAAATTATTATAAGAACCTTTAAATATGGAAAAATATATTTAGAATTCATTTTGGTTTCATAGGTACCGCAAATATTTAAAATCTTTTCTCATTAAAATCAAAAAAAAAATTTATTTAGTTTAATGTTAATTATTCAGCATTATTTTCACCCATACATTTTTTTACATAAAATATATTTCTGAACATTAAAATTATTTATTTCGCGACGAGAGCAAGAAGAATTCATCAAGAAATTCCTTTTAGATCAAGACGAAAATAAAATTTTTTAACCTTATACTTCCGAAAAATAAAAAATTTATTCAAAATGAACAAATACAAATTTAAAAGAATAATAAAAAAAAGAACAAGAAAGAAAAAAAAAGGTTATTTGTTAGATTATTTGTTATCCTTAAAATGTCCTTGATTTATATTGTATATATAAGGTTTGGAAAAATGTGTAGAGAACCTGTTAACTGTTGTTACTTTCTATTTTTTTTTTTATTAATTTCATTTTATGATGAATCATTAAATTTACAACTTTTTTTATGGCAATTTTCAATAATAATTGTAAAAAAAAAATAAGCTCAAAATAACAAAAGGTTCTTCTTATGTAACAGTAAATTCTTGCTATGATTATGCGTTTCTAAGTTACTTTATATATTATGTATGTATGTATATGCAAAATTTTATTGTAGAAGAATTCTTGGACTTCTTCTGGGCAAGTCATTTTATTCATTCATTTTGTTCATTGTTCAATGTTCACGTTGTCCATTATTGCGTTAAACATCTGGAGTTTTTCTTGTACTTGCGTTCTGTTGCTATAATTTTTTTTTTTGCTTTTCTTTAAAATTTTTAATTTTTAAAAATATTAGAAACTAAATTTTTACATAATTCTTTCTTTATGAGCCATATGCAAATGGAAATTTGTAAACACTTATGGAATTGCATGACGTGTATTGTTTTTATACAAAGAAATTTAAAAAAAATTTAATTTTAATTAAAAATATTAAAATTGATTCTAATTTAAAAATAATATATAAACATTGCTGCCGGAGCTTAAAACCTATGAAATTATAAATGAGTGTACCTATGAGGTGAAAAAAGAAAATTTCAATCAGGTTCGGGCTCAAGCCAAATTTAGAACGATAAAATTGAGAAAAATCGCACTAGTCAGAAGACTTTATTTTAATAAACAAAAATTGTTGTTCAATTACGTTTTTACCAAAAAATTCATTTTTGTTCGTTGTTTAACTGCTTAGCAGTAAAAAGAAATTCCGGTACCCTATGCGATTCCGCCTCTGATAAACTGTAGTATATTTGAAAGCAGAATTAAGCAACATAGCCATCTTGAAGTTTTTAATTCCAAATTAATAACTTAGAGATTGAAGATGAAGTCGACATTTTTAATTTTGATTCAAAAGTTTTTTCTTGTTGAATTTAAACAAATTATTTGCACCTATTTTAGTTCGCTGGCAGTATAATTTAATTCTTTTGTTGAATTTTTTTTTTTGAAATTCCAAATTAATTTATTATTAGCAAAGTTTTGTTATTTTATTTTACGAACACATACACAAACACATTTAATTTTGTTTTTGTAAAATTTTTTTGTAATCCCTTGAATTCATTGCATGAATATTTTCCCAATATTTTGTACGTAAAATTGTAATTTTCTCTTGTATTGCATCAAATCATTCAACATTTTAATTTTCAAATTTAAATTTTCATATTTTTAAATTTAATATTAATAAAGTCATAGAAATCGTCAAAAAATACAATAAAAAAAATTTTCCATTTTCTTTTTTTCTTGTTGTTAATTTATTCAAAAACAAAACAGCTGTTCAGGATTAGACCTGCACCAGTTCTTGTAAGTATTTCATAATAATAATAAAATATTTAATTTCATTTTTTTTACAAAATTTTAAATTATAATAGGCAAAATATTTTATTATCCTTATAATTTAATATTTTAATTAGAATACAATCATGAACATTTTTATTCATCACAGTCGCATAATACGCCTTTCCAATATAGTCGAATACGCGTTACATATAGTTTACATGTATGCGATTTTGAAAATGAAATCCTTTATTTTAAAAATATTTTTATTCAATTGTGATGTTAACTGCGAGCTCGATTATGGCTTTCATTAAATATTTCGACCAGATTTATTTTAGACTACTTTGCCTATTCATTGTAAATAAATTTCCTACCATATGAATTGGGAAGAAAATCTTTAAAGACCTTAAGGAACTTGATGAGATCACCTGAAATTTATATATTGCCTTACTTAAAAACCTATTTTATTTCGAATTATTCGACTTATTTCACTTATATTACGAATAATTAAAATAAATACAAAGAATTTTAAATATTTGATTTTTCAATTTCAATACTATACAAATAAAATGCTTAATATTTACTAATTGCCAAAAGAACCTGTCTCTCTCCAAATATTATTAGATGAGTATTAAAATGAGATCTCTATAGTCTCTATAGTTGAGGTAGTTGAACTTAATTTTAAAATGAAATTTTGTTATATAATTTATCAAAAATTTTTACATTAAAATATTACAACTTTATGGGCCATATAAGTTGCTTATTAGGATTTTTAATAAAAACCCATAGAAGCGGTTTTTTAAACAAAATGTCTACTTTCCCAAAAATTTACAATAAAATATAAAAGAACAAGCAGAATTTAAAAGTAAAATGATCGTAATTATTCATTCATTTTCATTCAAGTGAAAATGACGTGCAGCTAGGAACAAAACTCTTTCTTACAGCTCCATTACGGGCACAATACATTACAATATTCAGCTTACAAACTGATATTCCATACCATTTTTAAAATCATTATTGGAATATGTTTAAATTTTTAAGAAAATGCGAGGGTACAACATTGAATTCTTTAAAATGTGCTAAATTATTCTGGGATTCATATACAAAATGTCGCTTTTACAAAATTTATTATATATATATATATTTTAATACAAACACGTCAACATTATAAGGTTCATCCATCATTTTATACAATTAAATATTATCATAATTTATTATCATATAATTCATTTCTTCTCTTTTCGAAAAAAAAAAAGAAAAACAGCATTATATGAAAATTTAATTCAAGTAATTATTTTTTACTCACATGAATCCCGAATTTACATGTCAAGAATTTTATTGAAATGAATGTTGAAATAGGTTAAAAATTTTATATAAATAGTGATAGCAATTGATACCATTATAACTATAATATTATCTATAACAATGCCGATTCGATTTATTAGCAATTTATGCAAATGCCTTGAATGTATGGGATTGTATAACACAAAAATGATGTACTCATACATGCTTATAATAAATTTCCTTGTTTCAATATAATAAATGTATATTCTGCTATGTTTGTAACACTCTTCAAAACCATGTATACTCATAAAGTCATTCTTATGATCATACTTGTTAGGGGTGAAAAACTTCTCTGCATAAGTATGAGCAAATATTAATTAACCTATAATAGAATAGGCGTTCAACACTCTTTGATTATCAAAATGCATAAAGATGAATAATTTTCTTTTCCATATTTAAAGCACATCACTATTCCGACATGTTTGCTATTCTTCTTTTGAAGGGAACAAACCCTTACAAAATATCTAATGAAAATTTAATCAACCTATATGCGAAATAGAATTTTAAAAAAAAAAAATTAATCTGAAGGAAAAAATAATGGGAGCTTATACTGAGAAAAACTCTAATTCGAAGATTTGAACGCGTACATGATCCTAAAATCATTTATTTTCTTTTCCTTTTTTTCCCACTTTTTAACCAACTGGAATTTGACGAATGATGTATAGAAAGAGTATAGTAGGTATCCAATATGTTAAAAGGCTATGACGTGAAATTTATAAATGATATTCCCTTTTTTTTTAATATTTCATGTAATTTTTATTTAAATACATTCATTGTATATACAAACATAATTATCCTTAATTATAAAAGAACAAAATTTGTGTATTCTGTAGGCAGCAATTTTATTCAAGAATTTTTTAAATAAATTAAAAATAAAATTATCTCTTAAATTTTTGGACGATTTCAAAATTATTTTACCATTTTTCATTTACATTTTCCTTTTATAATTAAGAGGACACTGCGCTATTTATCATTGTAGGATTAATAAGATCTAAAATTATCAAATAAAAGAGAAAAATTTAAAAAATAAATCATTAATTTTTTAAGTGCTTTTCTTAATTATTAATAAATTAATAAACAGAAAAATAATTTAAAATGATTAAAGTGATATTCATGTTGTTCATTTTTAATATTGAATGAGAAACTTTTCCATAATATTCACTCTAAGTCCTATATACGGTTTCTAAAACAAAAAACCTTGAATTTTTGTAAATAAAATAAAAATTTTTCATTTCAATTTAAATTTATAAAAATTTGAATATAAAATTTGAAATTGAAAACCTTCAAAAATCTCAATTACTTTAATTAAAAATAAATATCATTTTGCAAATATTAAAATTTAAAATTTATTCTAATCTTATATATTACTCAATCCTATGCAAATTAAGGTTTTCTTCTTACGTTTAGGTTTTGATTAAACGAAATATCTGGTTTTTCAAGTTCAAAATGTCATGATATTAGAGTATGCTATTTGATATATTATGTAAAGGAGGGGCCACAATCAACGATCTACTTTCTTGAATTTAACTTGAAAGGTTCGTGAAGAAATTTTTCTTATATTTGGGCTAATCTATTTCGCAGCACTGAATACACTAGAATTTTCTATTCGGATTTTATCGGAATTAGAAGCTTTTTAAAACTTACAGACATTTTGTATACAAGCCTTTAGATTATAGTTTGTTTTATTTAAACCGTTGCCATTTAGTACAAAAAATCATGTAAAAAATTTTAAAAACAAAGTTGGGAACAATTTGAGTAACTTGGAAACAAAATTTTAAATTCAAAAATTCAGAAAAAATGGTTCTTGTTTTTAAATAATTATGAAATCCCTTATAATTTCAACACAATAAACTGGCAAAACTTCAGAAGAGAAGGTAGAAAGGAAAATATTTTGTTCTAAAAAAATATTTTATAAATACAAAGTACATTTGCTTAACAAATTTCAATTTCTTTATTTTACTTTTACGAACTTTTTTGAATTAGAGCAAGATTTGTCATGTATTTGTCACCTATTCAATTAATCAATATAAGTGAGTTGAAGTTAGAGTAGCTTTAAAGTATACTATTCAAAAAAAAAATTAACAGTTGTACTTTGTTAAATCTAAAATGTTAAATACTCCCTTAACTATAAAAACACTTCATCACAATTCAGCAATTAGTATGTGCATATAAGCTTTATTCTCAATTAATACAATATTTTTATACAATTATGACATCAAGGGTTGTCAAAAGAAATTATTCACTTAACACCAATTTTATTGTGTAAATGTATTCAATTTCAACATTTCAATTTTTATATTTTATTAATTAAATATTTTTCACATACATCAGGCATAAAATAAATTAAATAAATCTGATGTGATCAGCATATAACCGATCGCAATGTGTATTGTCTACTTCACCAGGCCTAGTATGTCCCAAAAGTTATTTGATCCGTGATATAGTCAAAATAAACTCACATATAAAATTTCATCAAAATCAGTTCAGCCGAACTAGAGGTACACGCGTACCTCTAGTTTATTTGCACTTCCCTATTAAGAAAACGTGCGTTCCCACCGAAAACTCGACATCGGAAATTTGGTGCCATCATATAGCCTTCCTTATTGTATGCAATATCGTCGGTTATTGTACATATAAACTGTCACAAATTTAAAATTCTTCTTATTAAAACCTTAAAGAATAATCACCGTTAGCATCAGCAGTCATAAAATATACAAAAAAGTTTTTTTTTTAACACTTTTATTCCTTCATTCCAATAAAATCTATTTCATATTCAATTCAATAGTATAAAACAAAATTCAATTAAAATTCAAAACTTATATACGGTTGGTTTTTACAGTAATCTAAAGTGACAATCAATATTTACATTTTATTCATAGATTTTTATCCCCTCTACTTTTGTACACAGAAGTTAAAATATACATACGTATGTGTATTTGCATTTGACAACTACAAACATATTCATTTATATTGAATGTTTTTCAATTAAATTGAAATTTAATAAAATTTGAAATGAAAAACTTTTATAAACATTGACAGAATTTTACATTTAATTTAATTCAAACTATAAAGGTAGAGAAGTGAAGTAATAATGACAAAAACAAAAAAAAAGTTGTTGTCAAGTTTTTTACCATAAAAATTTTCTTTATTTTTTTGAAGTATTTTTCTTTGATGACAGTATAAATAGCTGTGCTCTGTTATTTGATATTGTAAGCAGAAACTTCACATATTTTTATACCCTGCACTTCGTGAAGGGTATATTAACTTTGGTATGGAGTTTGTAACTACTTGAAGGAGTCATCTGCGGTATGGACATATATATATATTCTTGCTCAGCGTAAAATTCTGCGTCGATTTAGACATGTCCGTCCGTCCGTCCGTCCGTCCGTCCGTCCGTCCGTCCGTCCGTCCGTCCGATCGCACGATAACTCAAAAACGAATAATGCAATCGACACCAAACTTTCACAAGTTTTTTCTTTTGTGCCAAGGACGAACCCTATTGTTATTGGACTAAGTCGGACAACGGGTTCGGGTAGCTGCCATACAACTCCAAGAGTTTATTTTAAATATTTCAAAAACTAATAAAGCTATAAATATAAAATTTTGTATACATGTGTCCAATTATATTCTACATATGTTCTAAAAATTATAATGGGATAGCTGCACCGGTTCGGGTGGCTGCCATACAACTCCAACAGCAAATTTTTTATATACGGAAAAATAATAAAGTCAGATTCATGAAACTTGGCAGTCATGTGTCCAATTATAGGTCAAATATATTTCTGAAGTTTTAGAGGAATCGCTTGACAGGTTCGGATACCTGCCATACAACTCCAGAAGCTAATTTTAAATATTTGGAAAAATAATAAAGTCAGATTCATGAAACTTGGCAGTCATATGTCCAATTATGGCTCAAATATATTTCTGAAGTTTTGGTGGAATTGCTCGACAGGTTCGAGTAGCTCCCATACAAGTCTAAAAGCTTATTTTAAATATTTGGAAAAATAATGAATCAAATTCGTGAGACTTGGCAGTCGTGTGTCCAATTAAAGGTCACATATTTCTAAAGTTTTGGTGCGATTGCTTGACAGGTTCGGGTACTTCCCATACAACTCCAAAAGCTTATTCTTAATATTTGGAAAAATAATAAAGTCAGATTCATGAAACTTGGCAGTTGTGTGTCCGATTATAGATCAGATATATTTGTGAAGTTTTGATGGAATTGCTTGACAGGTTCAGGTACTTGCCATAAAACTCCAAAAGCTTATTTTACATATTTGGAAAAATAATAAAGTCAGATTCATGAAACTTGGCAGTTGTGTGTCCGATTATAGATCAGATATATTTGTGAAGTTTTAGTAGAATTGCTTGAAAGGTCAGGTACTTACCATACAACTCCAAAAGTTAATTTTAAATATTTGGAAAAATTATAAGGTCAGATTCATGAAACTGGGCAGTCGGATGTCCAATTATAGGTCAGACACGTCCGTGAAGTTTCTATAGAATGATTTCAGAGGTTCGAGTAATTGCTACGTAATAACGAAAGGTGCAGGGTATAATTCAATCGGTTTATACCGACTGAAACGTTTTTACTTGTTAAAATATGATTTTAAAAACAAAACTTTTTTTTTTTTTTTTTTGCAATTACTCTGCGTACAGTACTTTTATATTAAGAGATTTTGAATTGTTAAAATGTCAAAGAAAAAATACTACGAAGAGACATTGGTTGACAATATTAATTCTAATCTTAAATTATAAATTAAAGTGTGTGATATTGTATTATGCCAACCTTGCTAGTGTCGTGAAATTCTGCAATAAATTCACCTTTCGTGAATTCAACGCTCTGTCAAATTTATTGAGAGAGAATAATCAATTGAATTTATTAGTCTTTTAATTATTGTTCTTTTGACTTATTAAAATTAAATCGTACTCTTGAATCACACTTTGACTTTATTCACGTTCTTTGACTACGAAATATGTACTTACCTTGTCATGGCGTGGTAATCATTAACAATACATTCATGTCAAATTCACTACTTTCTTGACATTTCATATTTGACATTTATTTCATTCAAATTCATTTGATTTTCAAATCATATTATTCAAATTAATTTTCTAAAATTAAAAAAAAATTTAAAACTATTTCAATTTATGAGAATATTTAAATTTTAGTATGTAATTTAATATTTTTCATTAGAATATTTTTAGGTTTTTAGTTATAATATTACAAATATAAATTTATAATATATTAATATTTTTTTGAACTCTTACAATCCATGAATTTACATTATATAGGTGTGGTAAAAAGAGATGATTGTAATAAATAAATTATTTTAATTTTTATTATAGAAATTATTAAAAAATTTTTTTATTAATTCAATTGTTTTTTATTTTTTTTTTCATTATTCCGATTCAACTTGTGATGCCGTTTGAAATCTTATGAAATGGATGTGTTTTTAGATATTTGTGAGAGCTCAATTCGATTATAATCCACTAGATGATGAGCTAATACCGTGTGCTCAAGCTGGAATTGCATTCCAAACTGGTGATATTTTACAGGTAAGTTTCATCAAATAAAATATTATTGTTATAAATGTGGGTATTAGCTTTCGGCGACCAGTTGTTTTTTTAAAATAACAATATGAAATATGTTGCTAGATTCCCTATAGAAAAGAAGTAAATTCCATATGCAACTGGTGCTAAATATAAACTAACTGCAAAATTTCTTGGGTTTTTGTTTCTTTAAATTTATTGGGCAAATTTGACAGTTTATGAAAACTAGCACAAACATAAAATTACTCTTAGTAAATATAATTATAAAAAGGGTTGAGTGTTAATCGATTTAAGTTGTCATTTTTAAGCTATCTTCATCCATGTTATACCCAGTTTTACAAGTTAGCTTGTTTATTAAAAAAAAGTTTTAAGTAGGTTAACTTCAGTATAGATCAAATTCTTTATATAAAAAATAAAACAATCTTTGATCAACTAATTTTGACAATTCGAAAAAGATATTTTGCTCGAATCTTGCAAAAGGATTTTGTTCGCTTTTGGATCGTTATTTGTAGAAATATTACGAAAACCATTTCAAGTTTTGAAACATTTTCACAAAATATTGTTAAAAATCCAATCCGACTAATTCAAATTCACATCAAATTTTATAATGAAATTTCAAAGCACCTTAAATATAAAAAATTTAAAATTAAATTTTATATAAAAGTATGTACAAGTAAAACTGTTAAAAAATCGTTTCCTTTGACCCTTCTAACAAAAAAAATTTTTTAAAATTAAACTCAAAAAAATAAAAAAAAAAATGATGACAATAGAATTTTTAACATTTTACTAAGAAAATCTACTTTGTACGTGATTTTATTTAAAAAAATCCTTTGAACTTAAAATTAAATAAAATATTCCTTAACAATCGAAACAATAAAATATTTAAAGTGTTTTAGGGGGAAAAATAAAATATTTATGTAAAACAGCATAAAAGTAAAACAAAAAAACAAAATCTTTCGTATCCCGTCAATTTAACTTTGACATAAAAACAAAAATGTCCTCTTTAATCTTGTGATTGCCTAAATAAATTCAAAATCAAATACGGAAAAATTTTTTTGTTTACCTTTTTATTATTTTTTGCTTAGTTATGAAAAAAACATTATAAAATTTTTAATATTTACAATATTTAAGGTTCATAGTTTATACGTACCACTCACCCTATGCTACTGAAAAAAATGAAATATTTTAAAATGTCAAAATTTTTATTGTGAATTCACTTGAAATTTTTTTACAATATAATTACTTAAATTCTAAATTTCTAGAATAGGTTCTAGAAATTTTTTGAATTTAATTTTAGATTCGAATTCCGGAGTATTTATTCCTCATCATAAATGAGGAATAAAAAATACTACGAATAAATTAAATTCAGTATAATCGAGAAATCACCTACTAAGTGTAAACACACCATACATCTTTAAATATCGAAATCTCAAATCTTTTTGCAAAACTTCAGATTATATAAAAAATTTTATTATGTTCAATGATAAACTCACTGAAAATTTACAAAAACAAGAAAAGAATTCTGAAATTTTGTCACAAAAATTGTAAAATGAAAAACTCTCCACAATTCTCCAAACACAATAAGAGAAAAGTATGCAATAAAGTCTACAAAAATAATAAACTCCAAGTCATTTGCTATTCTCATTGATTTTATTAAATTAGAATTCAATTTTAAAAGTTGAAACAAAATATAAATTCACTTTACACTCTTATAAAATTCTATTCACCTTAAACTTTAAATAAAATTCTAGTGTTTTCAGATAATTCTATTTTCAATTTCAAAAAGAATTGGAATACATTTAAATAAACTAAAATTTATTTTTAAAATCAAAGTACACTAAAATAGAAATTTTGTTTCCTTAATTTACTGAAAGCCACTACTTGTTCAAAAATTCAAAACTAAACTTTTTCAGGTTTGTCTCTATTTTATCTTTTATAGAGAGATTACAATGTATTGATATGCAAAGAGGTAATTGTATACCTGTATTAAATTTATTGGTGTGTATAGATACCCAATGGGATTTTATTATTGAAAATTTGTCACCATGAAAAGTTTCAACATAAGAATAGATAAATAATTTCGCTTAACTTATTTTGAATTCGTTATTTAACATAAAAGCAATTTTTAGATTTAAATACTTTCAAGTGAAATTCGATGTTAAATGGGGCAAGGTGAAAAATCGTATAATTTTTTTTTAGTAAAATAAAGCTTTTCGAGTTTTACAAATTCTTTTTCAAACACGTTGTAGTTTTTCTTAGTTAATACACGAGTATTGTGGATATTTAAGTGTACACTGAGGAAAAATGTTTCTTATACTAAAATAATTTGTTTGTAATTATTGATTGAACCGAGCTGGCGTTAGAACAGCTTACCGTCTCCAAGTGCTTCCAGCTTAGCCACAATTTTTACCAAATCCGTAGTCGAAAACATTTCGAAACTTTGAATTGCTCTCATATGATGTTCCATTTTCAAAAATTTTTTGCGAAGCTAAAAATTGCTAGTATTTTGTTATGAAATTTTTTTTTTAGCTTTTCTTTTAGAATTCCACTTGGTTTCCAATAAAAACCTCTAAAATATATTAAATTTATTGTATTTCTTCCTCATTTTTTCTATATTGTAAGATTTTTAAAAATTTTTAAGTTAAAATTTTGGTCTTTTTGAAATTTTATAACCTCCAACTCCCGTTTTATATACAATAACAAAAATTTATTCATATTTTTATAACAATGATTTTATTGTTAGCAGATTTTTTTTTTACTTTTTCTTTTTTCTTATACAATTTGAAAAGTATGAATTTTTCAAAAGAATATACCACGGCGCTTTCTTTTAAATCATAAAATTAAAATTTCCAGCTGTTCTTTTAATTTTAAATATGCAATAATATTTCTTTTATATTGCAACATCACTGGAAAAGAATTGTAAAATTTATTATGCTTAGACAATGGCAACACGGGAACAATAACAATCATCTCCTAAATGTATGCAATTTGAGTTTTATGTAAAATGAAATTTTTTTTTGAATTTTTGTCTTGTACCGTGGGTGGTGTACGAGTATGTAGTAATTTTTTTTAAATTATTTTTAGAATTTGAAAATTTAGAAGAGAATGGCCGAGTATTAAAGTTGCAAACCATATTAATGTATGTATATTTATAAAGATATGGTGTTATGTGTTTGGTTACAATAAAAAACGTTGTACACATTTTTTTTAACCTTCACTTATTTTCTCTTGTCACGTTTTTCTACCATTTTTCTTTTTCTTTGAAGCAAAAAATTTTAAAACCTTTTTTCGCTTGTTTTTTAATTTTTAGGCCAAACATGAACTGCATAAAGGTAAAAATTTTTTTTATTTTATTTGTTTACGAGAAATAAACAAGGACTTTTAGATATTTTTATAGTCAATTTTAAACTTTACGAAAATAACGAAATTTGAGTAGGAAATTTCAGTAAAAAATGTCAGGTAAAAGTATATCGAAATACGTTCTAATTGAAAAACTTTGGAATTTGCTGTTACAATCCAATGCTCGTACAATATACAATTAGCCTTGCAAATAGAGTCCAAGCAATTTTCTTTTAAAACTTCGGGTACTCAAACATAATAATACAATTTTTATAGAACTTCAAAACTGGCCACTCATTATAATTCAAGCGTAAATTTGGGAAGCTCCAAGGTATCAATCAAACCCGTGTCTTAAAAATTATGAACCGCAAATTTTTATAATTTGTTTAAAATAAAAGTAATTGCCTTCAACTTATATAAAATAATAAACAAATTTCTTTAAAAAATGAATAACTTTTGCTAAATGTGAAAGGAATCGAGTTTTATTAATGCCGCTAATTGTATTGATACAGCAAATCGAAGACTTTATTTTATTCCTCATAAATTTTATAACATTTATTTAAGTCACCGAACCAAAATTTACGAAATTTAATTATAGTGTGTTAAAAATTAGAAATTTTTGTATATCTTATAAAAAATATAATTACATAATTAAATAAAGTTACAAGATATTTTTTTTTTCGCACAATAGAAGCGTATACAGTTGTCCCCAATTTCTTTAATAATATTTTCTATATTTCAAAAGAAATATTCATTAAATTTGGCTTAATTACAATTTTTAATGAGTAAATTTGATTAAAATTATTTTTAATAATTATTACACCACTTTATTTTTCCCTATTTTATAAAAATGTTTTTCTGGTAAAAAATGAAAATCTTTTTAAACAAAAAATCTAAAATAAACATATTTAATATTACTCTAAAAATTGAAATTGACAACTTTGGGATATCTTTATAAATAAATAGCTTCATCATTCTTGGATATGCTTCATACATAAATAATTCTGCACTATTCTGCAGTGAAATAGAATGATTTTTTTTAATTGAAATGGTGTCTCTGACATGTTTTCTACAGCATTTGTGTTTGTTCCAATTAAATCTATCAATTATCTGAATTTCAACGTAAAATTTTTGTTCAAAGAAATTGTCTCGTTTCCGCTCTCTTAACGCATTTTTGAGTAATATATGATACTTTTAGTAGCACAAACGTAAATATGTTACACACGAACACCTCCAAATCCAGCTGAATTCATTTTTCTACGAGAAATTCATTCTCAAATTTCTCTTGAATTCAATAATATCACTCAAATTTCATGTCACTCTTTGTAAACACAACATTAATCAAATACGAGTATGTGTCACACGCATATTTCTCGCTCTCTTTTTTCAAATATAGAAAACGAAAAATCGTATTTATAACACTTTTTAAAATTGCTCTGTTACACATTATCTATAATTTTTTTCTGTGCGTAATTAAAAAAAACGTGATATCATCATTTTATACTCCAACAAATTTTTTTTTTCTCTTACAATATTATTAATAAAATGTCCTTTGAATACAAAATTAACATGGCGTTTTTTTCCTTATTCGCTAATAAAATATAAAACTTCTCCCTAGTACCATATTAAAAATTTAGAATTTTCTAGGATAAAAAAAATTCCTCTAA